TAACATTCTAAAGTTAACCTGAAGCACACCAGCTACCAAGTGTGTCAATTCAGCCTTTTATTTTTTTTTAAGATTTTATTTATTTATTTGACAGAGAGAGACACAGTGAGAGAGGGAACACAAGCAGGGGGAGTGGGAGAGGGAGAAGCAGGCCTCCCGCCGAGCAGGGAGCCCCATGTGGGACTCGATCCCAGGACTCTGGGATCATGACCTGAGCGGAAGGCAGATGCTTAACGACTGAGCCACCCAGGCGCCCTCAATTCAGCCTTTTAAAATTTAATTTAATCATCTGCAAAACACAACTCCAAGGTTCCTACAGAACAAGCTTTAGCAAGTGAATACTTAGAACCAACCATTTGATCCTTTCTAAATAATAAATTTCACACTGTATCTGTAATTTTTAGGGTTGGAGATATAGACTGACCAGGCAGAGGCAAGCTCTAGAAGAAAATTCTAGCAGCTCCTAAGAAGAATTCATCTACTACAAAATAAAGTTTTTCGTCTCTATGATTTTTTCCTAAGATTTTTATTTATTTGACAGAGAGACAGCGAGAGAAGGAACACAAGCCGGGGGAGGGGGAGAGGGAGAAGCAGGCTTCCCGTGGAGCAGGGAGCCCAATGTGGGGCTCGATCCCAGGACCTGAGCCGAAGGCAGATGCTTAACAACTGAGCTACCCAGGCGCCCCTCAGTATGATTTTTATATGTTGTTCTTTGAAGCTGTATTTCTGAAGATAAAGCAGTTCTTTCAAGTACTAAAAAAGCAGCCCTGATTTAAATAAGTCTGTGTTTTACTTCAAACAAGCCACAGAAGTCAAAATCTATGTGCTCATTTTCTATGTGCTCATTTTGGCTGCTGCCAGTGTCCTTAATAAGTGTCCTTGTCCTTCTCCAGCAAAATTCAACCATCCATGTCAAAACTGATGACTTACCACCTTGCTTCTTGGATTTTTCCTTCATTTTCTTTGACTTAATTTCCTCAAGAGTTTTTATTCCAAAATTCAAACATTCACCTGAGAAATCCAAATAGAAATCACATGAGGAACTAACACTTCGTGCCCTTTGCATTTTATTTGTGCGTAAGCACTCGAATGTTTTCTGAATGAGTAAGAGAACATGTGTCAGTATGGGTGTGTGTACAGTGGCGTCAGGGGACAGAGAGGTGGTGGTGATCGTGATCTAAATTTCAAATGTATTTAAAATAGTTTGGGCACATTCAACAGTGCTTTCAGATTTATGAGCAGGAAGCAGCATCAATGTAGCCTCTTCTTACCTTGCTTCAAATTGACCCCAGGTTTCCGGGCAGAGGCTGTCCGTAATCCATTATGAACTTCGGGAGGCGGTTGCAGGATGGGTGTTTTGGTTTCATCACCTTCCTCAGAAAACTGATCTATGTATCGACATATGAGGCAAATTTACAATTAACAGCAGGCCTCAAGCTTTAATTCTGATTCAAATTGAGTGACCCTGACCATTTATTTGCCTTAAAGCAAGAGCTAAAACTTACCATCATCATCTTCATCATCATCTGCAGCATTGATTACAACTGGTGGATGGGTGGGGCTAGGAACATTTTCTGAACTTTCTACTTTCATAACACTTCGCAGCTGAGGGGAGGGATTAGACTGGACAGACAATTTGTTCTGTTGAACTGTGAGCTGGTTAGCCTTCACTTCCTCTTCTGGTGACTCAGGCACAGTGGGCAACACAGCTAGACATACGACATCAGTCATAAATTAAAAATAGAAGATAAAGTTCCAATTCATCAAAAATCTTCAATCACATATGCTAAGCTTGGTGCTTTTCCTTATGACAATTTATTTCTTTTTACCGGATTTCTCCATTTTCACAATTAGGTTCTAAACTCCCAGAGAGGGTAAAAATGGCTTTTAGCTAATAACTCTTCACTATACACAAACACGTTCAAAGTAGGTGTTTAAAAGACAGAATAATCTGGAGGCTAGATGCATAAAATTGTTTGCAAATTCTAGACATTTAATTTTAATATTGAAATTTGAGGCTTTTGCACAGCAAAAAAGTAGCTGTTTAAAGACATAGTAGATAACACTTCTGAACTAAACCAGAGAGGAGCAAGCCCACTTTTTCCTCTTAAATAGAGGAGAGAATATGTAGCATCAAATTTTAATCACATAAGATGTGGCTTTTAAATGGCCGATCATTCCAGTAGGAAATGTTGAAGGAGATTTTGGAAATAAAAACTAGCTTTTGGGGGAGTGTAAATTTTATTTTAGATTATAGCCTAGAGTCGGGTTGGTAAACTTTTTCTGTGAAGCGCTAGACATTAAGTACTTTAGGCTTTGTAGACCTGTGTCTCAACTCTGCAGAAGGAGCACAAAATCTGGCCATAAAAAATATGCAAATGAATGGGCAGGGCTTCCTTCCAATAAAACTTTATTTTATAAAATAGGTGGAGGACCAGATTTGCCAAACCCTGGCCTGGAGAATCCAGTTTCTTTTGGAAAACTCACTGGGTCTGATAAAATGGGAAATGAAGCTATAGTAATCTAAACTGTCATGCCAAGAAACATTTGGGAGGCAATATGGCTTTTGGTAACAAAGTTTTAATCCTGACTGTGATACTTAACTTGTTTATGACTATGACTATGTACAAGTCATTTAACCTTTAAAATTAAAAGTTCAGTTCCCTCATCTGTAAAGTGGAAATAAAACTACTCTCTCCCAAGACTAAATGGCAATGTATGTAAAGTACTCTGTACAGTGTACATAGGTGTTCTTAAATTGTAACTATTCTTTTAAAATTAAAAACACAACTCACTTTTGCTTGGAGGTAGGAAAAGGCCATCAACATAACGTCCTCTATTGTGATGGAAAGCGCAGTTTAGTTTCTGACATCCCATTGGCTGATTTTCCCAGTAACAAGGAATCTCACTACGTTTTTTCTATAGGAAGAAAAAACACATTGTTTTCAAATAAAAAATGAGGTGTGACCTGTATTAATTTGGTCATTTGTTTCTTTTTTTTTTTTTTAATTAATTAATTTATTTGACAGAGAGAGAGAGACACAGAGAGAGAGGGAACACAAGCAGGGGGAGTGGGAGAG